AAGCCCGATCATCCTATCCTTCTTTTTCACTGGATGAAGTTACTTGGCGCTGTTCTGATAACACGAGCTAAGGGAGGGTTGGTTTCACTAAAAGGAGAAAGGCGCATAGGATCAGATCGCTTGCTCATACACCACAGCGGGCACATTGACTGGCTTACTCCCAAACATAGAACAAAGATTAGATTCCTGATTATTTCATCGGGGAAAGGCACGAACCCTTCTCCTATAGTACCTTAAATTCCCTTTTTTCTTAAGCTTGCTCGAGCTAGTTCTATAGATTCAATAAGAAGATAGAGCCCAAAGACCCCTTTCATAGGATTTCAGAGTTATAGGATCAAGAGCGAGGCCTTAAGGAGGGCGTTAGTGAGTTCTAAAAGGAATCATTCTCAGCGAGCGGGAAGACTTGGCCGGAGCGCAAGGAAAGAAGGGTCGAAGATGCTGGCAACAGGATGTGTATAGCGTACCGAGCCTAATAGGCTTTCCACTTCAATAGCTCTACTCTCTCTCTTCATTCTGGAAGAAATGCCGGTGAGTAACGGACGAACATGTGGAATCGTCTGTCTAGCCTTATAGGAAGGAACGCTAGTGAGGCTGCCCTCATAGAATGGGATTCGGACGGAAAAGCCAGAATCCTATGTGTGCTAATCCGGGGCTTTTGGAAGCATGGACTGAGGTCAATCAAAGAAATCGGCGCTGAACAAGACTAAGTCGCCGCCAATGATTGCTTCAAGGTAGCTATATAAGTCATAGCTCGAGGTTGAGGAGTGACAAACTCTCCAAAGAAGAAGGGGGTGTAAGGGAGATGCATTGGTAACTTGACTTGGGTATACATAGAGGAGGAGGGAGGACGGGCCACTGCCATAACTTAAACCATGCCTTGCTTATTCAAGCACTGGGATTATTGAGCGGAGAAGCACTTAATGATAAGTGAGATGAAAAGGGAATTCACTCAGGAGGCGCCTTCACATGGCATTCTAATCGCTCCAAGAAGCCAGTAAAACAAGCACTCAATTGCGGCTTACTGCTCACCTTTGAATCTCTTTCATAAGAGGTTTCTCGAAGGATCTCCATGATGGATGGTACATGGATAGCCGAAGAGCGTGCAGAACGGGGTCTTGCTATAGAGAGCCTACGGATCCTATCAGTTTAATAGATAGGAGAGGGAGATAGTGAACAGAGGTAAACGATCGACTGAGCATGAACGACTCGCTGAGCAAGAGTTCGTTTGTGGTGAGGTCTTTCCGATCAGCCTACCCACAATGAAGCCACCATGACTCAAGCGATATAGCTGCCTGGATGCGTTCCCTTTTGGAATGGGATTGATTGCAGCTTGTTGTTGATGAGAGTCGGTTAGTTTCTTCGAGGTGAGGACGCCTGTGCCTATCTCTTGAATCCGTCTCAGTCTTCTTCTTCCCTCAGCCCTTGACTCACTCGTTGCCCCTTGATTCTAAATAGTTAATCTAGCCTATACCTATAACCCGATTTGCTCGAAAGGAGGAGCACTCTCTCTTGTGTTATATCTTCTGTTAAAGCCCTTTTTCCAACAGTCCTTGCGTTGATGTTGTTAAAATACTTGTAGGATTGAGCTGATTGAATGACTCTTGGTTAGAGATAGGGACCCCATTCAAGGATTGGATCCATGGGTTGGTTTGACCTTCCTATGGTAGAGCAAGCAAACTTCCATCATTCACAGACCTCACCAATCGCTAACTCTTGTGATAAACGCACAAGGTATATAGCAGGTGTACCATTTTGGCCTTTTTCACTCCCTCCTCCTCCCTTCTGTCTAAATACTAAGTAGCATCCTTAAATCCTAGCTTCATGAGGGCGTAATCACTCTTTCATCACGCTCACTGGGATCTCGCTTTTGGAATAGAACCCTATCGCGAATAGGAGAGGGAGCCGTTCTAGACCAGATAAAGCCCTTTAAATTAACCCCTTGCTTGCTCCTTCCGCCTTGGAGCACCGCTTGATTGATGATAATGCCACCACCTTGCAACTAAGAGATGGGTAAAGCCATTCTGTGAAGAGAGAGGGCAACTCTACCACGGAGTCTCTCGCCCAAGAGTGGAGTTCCGAATAGCTTATTGGGAATCAGAGCCTTAGCCTTAGTCTACAATCATTCCTGAGTCTCTCCTATTTCCTATTCCTATTCTAGCTGGGATATTCGACATCATTTGTGCTTTTTCACCTAAGCCTTCCTCTTTCACTAAGATTAAGGAAGGCTTTAGACTTCTCCATCTTCCTCTTCGACTCTGGCAAGTACCATTGCTCTCTATCTCGTTGGGTAGCGCCCCGCTGCTAGGGTACTGCCTAGTTAGACTCCTTCTCTCTCTATCTGTGATCCTTCCTACACTTGTATCCCCCCTAATCCTCTTCGCATGATTGATTATTCCCATCCACTGACCTCTTCTTAGAGAGAGCTACGAGCTTCGCTTTAAATGAGCTTAATCGCTCTCTTTCTCGCTAATATAAATAAAAAAACCAAACCGAAAAGAGGCGTAACTCGTGTTCTAGCCCCTTTCAACCGCCTTAACTAAAATGCGGCATTTCTTGGTACGAGCAGCTGGAATTCTTGACTTCCTTCTCGCTGACTTGGGATTTCGAAACCAATACTATACTAGACGGTTGGCCGTCATATTCTCATTGACGTTTGGGGTATAGGGTGCGGTTGACTCTTTCCTTTGTTTATGCCTTAAGTCAGGGTCTACGAAAGGGCTATAAAGATTCTTAGCCGTAGGACCAGAAAGAGGATTAGTACCATTCACAAGAGTCGACGAAAGAGGCTAATTACGGTACCATGGACCTGGGAAGACAAGAGCTCGTTCATCAACGAATTCATCAACCGAAGAAGCGAGTTCCCAAAGAGCAGAGCAGACCGGGGCCGAAAGACTTCCTCTATCCTATTATGCAGTTGGTGGTTACTGCTAGCGGGCAGGTGAGTAGTCGCCTAGGCTGACAGGGGAGGAGCGAAAGCCAAATAAAGAAAGGAAATCGAAGATTGTGCTGCGAACGAGCGAGCCAAGGCTATCTTAATAGAAGAAAATGGCATGATTCAGTAGATGGGACGTTGAGATTGAGGGCCCGGAAAGGCAATGAGAATTGTTGAAGAGGGATTCAAAGAAAGTCAGTCCCTATATTAGCCCTCCCCAGAGGCAGAAGCAAAGGTAACTAGAGCGGAGCAAAATCCATACCATTCATTAAACCGGAGATCGTGCTATTTGATTTATTAGTGCGAAATGGCCACTGAACTTGTTTGACGAATTTACCGCGTATTCAGTTCAGTATACGAAGCATTGAAAGCATCCGACTATGGGTATCTATATCTCCTCGCATGCCCCATTGTCTGAAGCCTATCCCCTAGTCCTTACCGGTCTAAGCGAAGTCTTTCGTTTTTTGGACTAGGTCGATGGTCTTGGTAAGTCCCATTGTTCATTGATCTCCCCAATGCGAGGTGGGTCTGTCGGGCATGACGTGCTTGTGCCTCTCCCTGTGAATCAATAATAGATAGCAGCTAATCTAGTTGATCCCGTATAGGCGGAGGTGAGGACGGACAAAGCGGGGGCGAAGCCAAAAAGAGTTTCTTATATAGCATATCAAAGTCCAAGTTTCAGTTAGACCGGGTATGAGGCAAAGCCTCGAAGTGGTTTATCCGGGCTGGTTGAACCAGTTTGCCCGAAAGAAGCACCAATAGCATAATCCAATCGCTATCATGGTTGGAGCATAGATAGCAAAGGTATGGGTAGAGGTCAAATGCACACATCTACCAGGTAGGTGAAACTCTCAATCCATATCCGGTGATCCCTACCTCTCTATCCACAACCGACCCATCTCCTTTCAGCCGGGTAGGCTGATCGATCGAATTCATTCATGGTTGCGAGTCTCTCACTTCGAACATGGGCGAATGCTTCTCCCTCTGATCCATCCTTCCCATTCGCCGAATGATCTGTATAATCGGCATTCGATCGACCGGAAACGGACTAGGCGTTGGTTATTCCTTCCGCCCGCGGGCTATTAGTCTCAGTTGCATGATTAGATAACCTATTTTGGCACAACTCTTTCTCTCCCCCGGGATACTCGCCCGACGAACTCGACATTTCGCGGTATTCGAATATAGGTAAACTACTATCCTCTCCGGGCCGCCCTGAAAAACCCGTAGCAAAAGCTTTTAAAAAGCTCTAAGTCTTTCAAATTCTCCTGAATGAGCAGAGCACCATTGAGAGACAAAGATGTCAAGCGGGGAATGAGAAAGAGAGATGTTAATGATGAAGGAGGCGTCGGGACCGGGCTTGGATTCACTTACCGAATTTGAGTGGCTCCATGTCACAGCCATATAGCTTGTCACAACTCAACACTTCTTCAACCGGAACTTCTCCTTACACCGGAGAGAGAGAAGGCTTGATCCACCCACCACATGGAGGGATACCAACAACCAGGTTTAGCAACTAGAATAGGAATGGCGGGCCAAAGAACTTAATGAGCTCTGACTTTGCTTCTGTTGGTAATAGTGATGGTGCGGGGTCGGGGGATGGATACTAGTACTGGGACTTATTCCGATGCGAGGAATGCTCCTACCCCTCTAGGCGCTGTCTCCTCGTCTATACCTATAGTACTTCTGCCTCCGGAGAATCTTCTATTGAAAATGGATGTGGATACGCGCGTGCGCCCATACCAACCTGGTAAGGAGACTTGCTATATAATCGGAGGGGGTGCTGCCCCACCGACGTGACCAAGCTCTTCTCCTCCTTTTGCAAGGCCCTAAGGGGCCTTTGACTGGCGAGTGAAGAACGATTGGATGTTTTGAACGAGTGTTGAGCGAGTGAAGTGCCCCATAAGCTATAAGGGCGAGCTATATGTAACAATTTCGTGAGCAGCAATTGAACTGAACGTTCCAAGTGCATCCAGCAGGAATCGAACCTACGAATTTCCCTCTTTATTAGGTTGGTATAGGTTGGGCGCTTTAACCATTCAGCCATGGATGCAAAGCAAAGAGACTCAGCGAGTGAACTAGGTTTTGGTATTCCTTCTCGAGCTTCAATTTCTTCCGTTAAAGGAGATTCGAGAAAAGATGGAATAGGAAGACGTGTTTCCAGAACAAAGAAGATACGGGTTGAGAAGGGGAAGTTAGCAAAGTTAGACAAGATTGGAATGGGCATAGGAACATGTATTGATGTACCAGATCGGCTAATGCTCCCAGGTTGATGCGATGTATTCCACCAGTTGACTGAAGACTTGATTATTGGTATATCGATCGGTCCAGCACGAATTGAAATAGAAGCCGGTTCGACAGGAAGCTTTTGAAAACGCAGTGCACCCAGGTAAATAAGAAACGAGATGAATACAGAGGTTAAACGAGCATCCCACACCCAAAAGGTGCCCCACATAGGTCTTCCCCGAAACCCCCCAGTAACTAAGGTAAACAACGTAAAAAAAGCACCCATTTCTATACCGGTTCCGGAAGAGCGAAGAAAAAGGGGATGTTTTGTTAATAGGAACAAGAAAGTGTTTATAGCCGTAGCGATATAAACAAGAATACTCATCCGAGCCGCAGGAACATGTACATACGGAATACGAGAATTTCCACCTTGTTGAAGATCTAGTGGTGCTACCCGAAGACTTAAATGAATAGCCATCGCTGTTAAGAACAACCGAGACCCAATGAGAATTTGCGCGTAGCTTCTGGTCTTTGACATCAAAAAAGAAGGTTGTAATAACGAAACGGACATGTGAGAATTTGGTCCTTGCTAGTGGAACAAGAAAGACATGGATCTATATTCAATACGCAAGAAAAGGATTTCCCCGAATTCCCCCTGCTTTGTTTTCGCTCCGCTCGTGCGTGGCACTCCTTGCTCGCGGAGCGGCATACCGAAAATCAAAAAGCAGAAAAAGCCCATCCCGAAACCTTTATTAACTCAAAAGAGGGGGTTCCCTGGGGCGACACAATATTGATAGAACCTTCTTTTTCATTCTTGGACAATGAAAGACAGAAGATTTCGTTCAATATTGCCTTTCACCTGATAGTTTATGGAGCTATCATCTTTCCTAAGCTGGGTTAACAGCCGGGAAAAAGATTCATGCTTTTTCTCCCATTTTTCAGGATCAAAGCGCGGTCTATGTTGGCTGATGACCTGGGCCAAAAATGGGTCCAGGTTGCGGAAATCGAAATCCGAGCGAAAAAATCCCCGGCGGGAGATTTCGGCCTGGACCAGTTCTTCAAGGACCCCCCTTATGGCGTTCTCTTTTTGAGAGATTTGTGATTGCAGTTGGGCCTGAAAAATCGCCCTAATGCGGTCCCCCCGTACACATCCATATCGGGTTCGGGAGCCTCCTCAACGGGAACTAAGACTTCTTCCCGTGGAGACAGATTGAGGTCAATGTTCCACCGAGGGTTCGGGTTTGAGCTCGATGCGCCTGAACCCCGAACCATCTTGTACTGGATGATCTCGGCTAAGTCCGGGAAGGCGCTTACCACCCACTCATCCCACCAAAAAAGATGAATGCCCTTGGTTTGAAAGAGAATTCGAACAATAAGTAGAAGTAGCTTTCTCTTTCTTATCATTGTCTATCTCGTAATCATTCGATTCCGTCCGAATTAGCTCCTCCTTCTCCTGACGGATAAGATCGTCGTTGGTCCTTCGTTCGTAGTGGTCATTGTATAGTGAGAAAGCTCACCCCTGCCTTTAGACGAGAAAGCCCTCTTTTACATTCCCTAGACAAATCAAGAAATAGGAAATGCTACAACCCATTGTTGTTTTTTTGCCGATGAACCACTCCGGTACAACAAGCTAAAGTGACCTCTAGGCTTCGCCCCCGGTGCGTAGGGCCGATCCCCGTGTGCGTCAGAGAGGACCGGAAGGTTTGTGTTAAGCATATAGTTGGTTTTTGTCTTGTTTAGGCATTTGGTGTCCTCTCTGCCGGCCTACTTAGCGACAGAGCCACCTTCTTTGGGGTCAGTGAGGAGGACAGGACAATCCCCCACTCCGGCGGTTTCTGAGTGTTAAGAATGGATACTTCTTGGTCTTTGCCGGAATTCCGACTTGGGGATACCTTTGACCGATTTCCTGCCCCTTCATTATGATTAGTAATATGGGGAAAAGCGGAAGAGGAAGAAGCCCGAAGAATCAAAGAAAGAATTCATGAATGCAATGAAGCAAGCCAAGATCAATGGAGGGGCATCCATTCAAGTACCCACATTCCAATTCCCAATCATGGATGAGCCTCCTCTATGGATGCAAAGAACTCCTGCTCCTTATTTCATGAATGGGAAAGGAGAGAGGCCTCGAAAGCGATTCGCTTATGAATCTCCTATTGAAAGTCTGACTATGATCGCTCTGTGGTCCCCATGGAGAAGCCTCTCAGAAAGATGGAGATTGAGGCAATGATATAAGCTGCAGTAGAGCAGACCAATACGGGAGGAAACTGAGATTCAAGGATTTTAGCCGACATCCAGATGTAGCTCTGCCGGAAGGGTTCAAGATACCGAAGTTTAGTAAAGTAAATACTGTTTTGTAAATACAATGGGGTCGGCGACCCATATCATCGCTTGCTGTCCTTCTGTGGGGATTGCCGAGGCCTTGATTCCCAGTCTGGGTTCTTTTTCCACCTTTATCAGAAGTCATTAGAAGGGGAAGCACTCAAGTAGAACTCATCTCTCCCCCTTGATGCTCATCGTAGTTTTTACGATGTGATTGACAGATTCACCAGCCAGTAGTTCCACCAGGTGGAACATCCCCCAATCTCTGTGATTTGGTGAATGAAAAAATGCAGCCCGCTTTTGAATTCATTACCTTTGTTAACCGATGGAGGAATTTAGCAGCTAAAGCAAAATGAAACATAAAAGAGGAAGATGCAGTACAGATGGTTATCGATAACCTGCATGGGCCCATCAAGGAAGCAATGGTGCTAGGAGATTGCCGAAAAATCCCTCAACTCTTTGAACGAGCTGCCCGCATGCAGAGGAGTATAAAAGACAGGTCTATCACTTTCCTCAGGAACTGTTCTAATGGGGGAGAAGGCAAGAGCCAGTCAGAGAGTCACCATAGCCAAGTGATGTTTTCAGGTGGTGAAATCTAGAAGTGGGACGAAAAGAAGAGCTGTCGTATAGTAGTCTTTGTCCTGTCTACCTTGAGATTGCCCCTATCTATCAACGGGGGACCCCCCGAAAGGCGAATAGGAAGCTTCCAGCGATCTGGGATCCCACCTTTGATCGAGATGAAGGTCTAGTTTTCACTAGGAATCCCAGGGTTGCCGATCAGGTGAAGTAGTTGTTTCTGGGCACAAAGGATTCACTCGCGATTATAGGCCCGAAAAAGGGAAAGCGCACAGGTCTTCAAAAGAGACAAGACAAGGTCTTTCATTGTCCGAGCAATGGCTCAAGCATTCAATGTCAGATTGTTGCTCATCGAAAGGGGGAGACCCATTCAAAGCTCAGTGGTAGCACTCGACTTCGGTACTAGGCCTGACTAGATGTTCGGAATCTGATGACCAGATGCTCGGAAGTGAAAGAGGGAGCAGAGTACGCACTGATGAGCAGCCCGACTTAGACGACTAATGCCTTCTCCCAACCTTTTGAGGTTTTTAGGTTGAGCACAAGAAAAGAAAAAGCGAAAAAGAAGCAACTCCTTGAGCGCTAGGAGAGGAACCGCCAGATTGAGGATGAGGAGGGGGGGGGAGTATGGAAAACGATAGAAAGGTGTGGTCATTGGAGGGGGAGGAATACGAGGCAATGAAATTGTTGTTGGTTGTATAGCATAAAAGTGAAACAATAGCTTTCTTTTTCGATAGAAAGAAAATGCATCCATCTTTGTCTAGTGAAAAAGCCAGGGTATGAAAGAGCTACAGCAAAGACAAGATTGACTCATATTATTCCGTTCTTTCTTTCCTATTCAAGATGGCTTTACAGCGGGTGTGCTGACTTGACCTGAGGAGATCCGATTGCTTGTGCTTATGTACCAGTTCCTATTGCTTGCTTGACTATTCTCATTCCGATTTCGATTTCTATTGGCAGGCTATTAAGCTGGAAAAGCCTCTGAAGAAAGTCATCAACATCAACAAAAAGTGTTAGGAAAGAACTCAAATCCCAAGAGGCGTACTATTAAGGAAAGGCGAGCCCTTCATTTCATCTCTCGTCCCTTCTATGGTCCGTTTAGTCACTCGAAATCGAAAGTCACATCACGGGGAGCAAGTAAGCGTACAAGGCTTTCCGGATCCCATCGAAGAAAAAGTGCCAATCGCTGGAAATGGTATGGCCTATTTCAACACCTATCCTTCCGTTTGAAACTCTCGGAAGACTTCTCCGGTCTATAGTCATTACTAGTCTTTATGGACTTCTGGCTAACTAAAACAAGAAAGATGACCTTCTCCTGCTCGTTATAAAGCTAAAAAAAAAGGAAGGAGCGAAAGCCAGGTTGGAGAGGAACGAAAAGCCAGAACGAACTCTTGTCTTTCTTGAAAATAGGGCCACCTTAAAAGCGGAACTCGGGGAGCCCTCAGAACCTCAACCGGTGGAACAGCTTCCCGAAACAGCGAGAGAAGCCCACTACCCGCTCTCCTCTCTCCACCCCGAGGGGGGTGGCCTCGCCCTTCAAGGCTACATTCCGATTCTGATAGTAGAAAAGGCTAAAGCCCCACCTTTTCCATTATTAGAATCAGACCATTTTCTTCAGTTGGAATACGGATGAGATCAAAAAGGCCATCATTGGGGCAAACAATGCAATAGCTTCGGAAACTATTTATAGAAAGCAGTCTTAAAGCCTAATCTTTATCTTTCTTTCTAAAACGCCCGAATCGGTCTTTATTAAAGCTCAAAATTTAGCTTATTAATATGAGTTCTTCGTTTGCTTTTTGTAGTTCGGAAATTCTTCTCGCTACCCCTCTCATATTCGTGATAGAAGAGCTGTTGCCTTATGGAATCCGCTTGTTGGCGGATTGATTCTCGGAGTTGGGCCTCTTTGAGTCGGCGCTCCCCTTCTGCAATCGCTTCTCGGAGCCGCCGTATCTCCTCCCCGTACATGTGAATTAGTCGGGCGTTCTCTTCGCGTAGACGTTGCCTTATGGCTTCCTCTTCTTCCCGTGGGGCCGAGGCCGACGTGGAGGCTGGCTCAGCCTCCGCAGCAGGAGGAAAATGGAGATCGAACCGCGGTCGCTTCGAAGAGCTGGCACCGCTTCCATCGCCTCCGAAAGGAAGAGACTGTTTTTCCATCATAGAAAGCAGAAAATCTAAGTCAAGGTAAGGTGCCACCCAATCTACAAAAAAGGAAGATCAGGGATACAAGTAATGCTCCAGTCAAAAAGTTCCTTAATAAGAATCTTTTTTGAGGTTTTGATAAAAAATATCAAAAGAAGAAACCATAGTTTCTTGATGAAATTAGACCAATTCTTTTTGTTTGGCCCTTTTTTGAACCAACTTGAATCTGAACTACGATTCAGATCAAGTCTTACCGAAATCGGATTTCCTTTGCGTGCCATATGCCCTTAGACTTTACTTATTTCCCTTAATTCTTCCCGGTCCACTATTTGTTCTCGAAAGTCTTCGTTTCCGTGTAGAAGCAAACTCTCCAAATTTATGACCAACCTTTCCTTCAGTGATCTTACAACGAACAGGAGTTTTTCCATTGTAAATTCGTACGGAGCAATTAACGAATTCCGGCAAAATAGAAGATCTACGTGACCAAATTTTCCTGTTCAAAAGAAGATCTCTCTTCTTCTTCATTCTCAACAGGAATGC